TAATTGACAATATAGTTTTTAACATTATTATGACATTATAATAGCATAGTTCTTGCTTTAAGTTTTGGGTTAAAACTTGAATGTATTTTAGTTAATTTTATTGATGAGATTTGACATGTTATTGGTCTCATAATGTTTGACCTATATTTTTCACAATTGGAAGACTATTTTCTCATTTATCTCTCATTCGATTTGAACAAGTGAATATATTACGTTATTCTTCGTACAGAATAGAATATGAACTCATAAAAATTTATACCAAATGACAAGTGAATTTTATTTTAATTTAGACTTAAAATTGATCAAAAATTCAGTTTTTAGAAATAAAATTCTACTTTGGTTCAACAAGTATAACGTTGAACTCAACTGTGGGGATGTGAATCATCTTAAAGAGAATTTAATCTTAATTCGCGGCTCATCCCTGCCATGCTCAACTTGCCTATGGATGGATATATATATTTCAAGAGTAATGCTAGATTGATCAAATTTTGTGAATAAATTTAGAATTCAACTGACATGACAGTTGATTATTTGAAATTTTTATTGGAGCTCAAATGACATCACACCAATCAAAGAAGTCTAAGTCAACTGCCATGTCATTTGGGCTCTAAATTTGATTAGTCTAGCATTAGTGATACTTCAAACAAGTCGGTACTAAGAATTCAAAAGAACATCTGAAATCTGAAAGCGTACTTCAAGAGGTAACATAGATAAATTATAAATTTAGATGTTCTGATTTCAAATTTTGACAACCTCTTTAGGTCAGACCAAAAATAATTTATCCCCATATGAATATTCGAGTTTCAGGGTAGATGGTCTTTTTTTGATTAGATCAAAAAGAAAATTAATCGAGATACACATAAACTGGTTTAAACATCTTTAATCGTTGAAAAAATAAAAAATAAAATAAAGAACATCTTATTGATATGAATGGGCCACACTAGAAAATAGTTTGCCAAGATTATTTTCCTTCATACTTCGTCAATTTTTGTAAAGTAGCACGAGTTTGACTAATCAATGATATATTCAAAATCAATGAAACAAAGTGAAATTAAATCCTAATTGGGGAGTACTAAGTATAGTCAACTTAACTTTTCTTTTCTTTTCGTTTTTAGAGTTTGCTCGAAAGGAATGCAGGCGTAGCCGACGTTTAGCCAGGGAGACATACAATTGGAAAGAAGACATTATGGCCATTAGTGGTCGTTGTCAACTTTTAAAATCATATAAATTGCATGTTTAAATTTTTTTTTTTTTGATTTATGCTCTACTTATTTATAATTGTGTAATTGGGTTTAAATTGGATTTAGCTAAATTTGTATTGTGTTGAGTTAAATTTTTGTATTTATAGGTCTAACAGGTTCAATTACTTTTAATTTGAACTTGATAAGATTAAATTTAAATTTATTAATTTAATTACGTGTTGGGTTTAAGGTCTTGGGATACACAATAAAAGAAGTATGGAAGAAGATTGGCTAAAATCAACATTAAGAAAATGAGCAATGTTACATGGACTTAAAAATTAGATTTAATAATTTTAATTATTGATTTCTCTATGAATCCTAATATTTATTAGAATTCACTATATATTCAATAATTGAGATTACCAACTCTAATTTTAAGTACATATAACATTATTCTAAAAAAAGACCACTTGTCCAAAACGTTAAGAAAACTAGAAAAGACCTGCGTAACTGAAGGAAGGTATGACATCTATAAATTTATGATGATGTAACACTTAGTACGTCACCTAGGCAACGTGTACACTGCTTTTTATGAGAAAAATCTCATATGGTAGATGATGAGACCAAACAAGTCGACCACTTCTTGACTTCTCACCACCAGGTCGAATGGGTTTGCCAAAACGTGATCTATGAAAAGGATTTGGCTCCAATAAGTCCTCTCTTCAATTCTATCCACATAATTAGATTCACTTCATTCAACAAACTTTTTCTTGGATTATGTGAAATTGAAAAAAAAATTAAGCTCAATATAAATAGATTTGGAGAATTACAAATTAATTGAAAGATCATGTTATGTTCAAATAGTTATGAATTCTAACCCTTCACAAATCTTAGGACTTTTGAATCAACAATTGAGTTTATAATAATTGGTGTCAGATTAGACATTACGTCATAAGTTTGAGTCATGGAAGGGGAGACTTAGAGGTTGGATTAAAGTGTTTTAGTATTTTGTATGTGTATAGTGCTATCGCGGTTAATACTGGTAGGTTAGTGAAGTCAAAAAAAAAAAAAAAAAATATCATTGGGTTAGTGTGTAAATCGTCATAGATGTCAGTTCTCAGCGTAATGAAATGTTACGTTCAAATAGTTATGACTCTAATCTTCACAAATCCTTAGACTTTTGGATCACCGATTATGTTCATAACAATTCTATGTACATTCTAATTAGGAGAACAACCAAATGGCCAAGAAAACAACAAATTTATTTTGGAAAAAAAGAGAATGAAAGAGTAAATGTAGGCTAAACTAAATCCAACGTTTTCATTGAGATTAATTTTATCGTGTATTCAGAATGACTAATTAAGCAAAAAATGTTGGATTTTGCATAGAAGTTTTCAACAAATAAACATGATTGATTAACCAACTCTACTTGTAACACAATTAGGCCTCATTCAAATCCAAATCTATAGGAAACATACTTGATTTTTCACATAAATATTTTTCTCTCCACTACGTTTTCTTGGTTCAATGACATGGCTAGAGTATGGGATAGCCCACCCCTTAGGCCAAAAACCCCACTCCATCCTTATCATTTATCAAGAATTAGGTGATTTTCACTCACCCTCCAAAATGAGGGTAAAACTAATTATCTTTCATTTCTCCTTAGATCATTTCATGAATACAAGAATTTTGTAGACGGGATATGATATTTGTTGGGTTTCAAAATGATAAATTTTCTTGAGAGAGAAGTTGAATTTGTTGTCATTAGGTGTAACGTGTGTTGATGTGAACACATCTTATAGACAAATCAAACTGATTACGTGTTTGGTAAGAGAGATAAACTTTTCATCCATAGATGAAGAAAATATTCTTTCTTTCTTTGTTATTTGGTATAATGGATGAAAATTTGAAAGGATATATTTTCATTAATTGTTTGGTGTCAAAAGGAAAAACGAATAGAAAGTAAAAAAAATATAAATGTAATAGTAAAATGTAATTTAATATTATACCCTCTTATAAAAAATAATTTTTTCATTACCAACAGTAGAAATTTTTTTTTAAAAAAAAGTTTACTATGTGGATTGTTTCAAGGACGGTCAACAGTAAATAAAAAAAGATATTTGTCACAAAATTTGCCAAGTGGCATGTTTCTATAAAAATCTAGCTGATGCAAAAATAGCACATTTTTAAGGGGTATAAAGGTAATTAAAGAAGAATCTACAATCTCTCCTAGATTTCCATCCCCCTTTTCGCCCAAATTTGAATGGGGAAAAGAAAAAAATTGTGGGCGCGATGGATCGACATTCCACTGGTTTTCCCATTGCATCCAATTTTCCATTGGTCCTTAATAGAGAAATCTCCTACTTTCTAATCCATTTTACATTCGCCGTTTTCTATTCATCCTACTTTCTTTCGTACCAAACACGTCATAAGACTAAGTAATATGATACAAATAAATAAATAAATTTAATTTTTTTTGGTTAAATCCGAAACTAGAAGATGGGAACCAGACACCAGGGATCAGGAGCGGAGCCAAACTTCATTCGGAATAGGCAAGTGTCCCCCTCAAATATTTTTTTTTAGTACTTATGTAGATATATATTATATATTTGTATAATACATTACTTGTGCCAATCCAAAATCAAATATAAAAATGTTTGGTCGACCACTATTCACTCAAAAGAATAAAAAAACCAAGCCCATTTAGAAAAAAAAAAAAATTAGGCTCACCAGTACTTAAACCAAAGCGAATGAGTACAAAACTAAGTTGAATGCATCTTTAATTTTATACGGCATTGATGTGGACGCAATAAATTATTTTATGTGCTTTGAAAATTAAGTTTGGTTTTGAATTCTCAAACGTAGCCGAAAACCTCTTCCAATGCTACTCTATGTTTGTAAAAGAGTGTATGATAATTCTTCTTCGAGAATGTCAATCTTTACGGCTGATTATGATTTTTATTTACTCAATGCTGTCAAGTATTTTGCCATACTTTCTTCTTCTTGTTGCTTCCTTACACTTTCCCTCGCCTGACTAAAAAATCAAAGTTAAGTTTGTTTAATAGATGTTCACATTCTTCCATCAAAATGCCATTTTTTTAAACACTATTCCTTGAATTATGGTTATCATCAATTTTATATTGCCCCAATAATTGAAGACTCACAAAATTTTGAAGGACTTTATCTCATTAAATCTTTAAATTATGTTATTTATTTCTATTGATCCCGACACGTTTATATTTTCAGACCATAGAGTAGACTTCTATAATTCAGTTACCATATAAGTACATAATATTTTTTTCCCAATACACGGTGTTATCCAACCGCGTGAGGTGGATAATAGCTAGGATAGCGTTGAAACAGTCAAGAGTCTAGCAAAGACCAGGAGATAATGTTGGTGTCAAGGAAGTGAAGTTTCTGAGGTTAAAGCAAAAAAATATCATATAATTAGGATTTTATTGCTGGTCTTGATTCAGGTGTTGTTAACACACAAAGACAGGACTTTCCTAACCTCCCTCTCTTTCTCTCGCCCCTTCTGAAAAGTCTAAGAACATGGACGCCTTGAGAGTGACGATTCAAATGTCTGACATGACCTCTATTTCCTCCCACTTTCCATTGTCCACCAAACCATTGACTTGGGCTCTATTCTCTCTCTCTCTCTCTAACCCCGTAACACTCATCTCAGATTTATATATATCACCATTATGGTTGTATTCCTTTAGTCATTTGGGCAACATAGTATTTGTTGTGCATGAAAAATTGTCTACCACCAGTTACAGTGAGAATTTCTCGGAGTTTGTTTTAGTTTATTCACTTCCCATGGACTCAACCTTTGTAGACACATCTCTCACCATCGACCTCAATGTTAATCCTTCACAACATTCTGATGAAATCGCAGTAAGTAGAACTTAGATTTAACAGAATAAATCTACTATCTGCTTTGGTTGCTTCTTTTAACTGTTAAGTTCACCAAGTTTCTTTCTATTTGGAATCAGAAGAGACAGAGTTTTCAATCTGACTTCGTAAATGAAAGCAAGCCTTCAGTGAAAGAAGAGGTGAGTTTTATACATGTTTTCTGTAAATCTTGCCATTACCAAGTACTATATTTCAATTTATATTTGAACCGTCCCTTCTTCGAATGGGTAATCCTTTGGCAAACAGTTGATCACTAATCTATTCAAGCAATTACCTTGCTGAGCATAGAATATATTGAAGACAAACAAGTTGGACCAGTATCATATATTATCCAGTATGATCTACAACTTTTTTGATTACCAAATTAATCATCAATCACCAAGTATTACTTCACTAATCCGGACTAATTCTCGCATGCTCAAGTTAGTAATATGTCTTCACTATTGGGATTGTCCTTTGAAGCAACCTGATGTTCTGATGGAAGAGCTAAACCGGATGAGGATGGAGAACAAGCAGCTAACCAAAATGCTACTTATTGTGTGGGAGAAGTACAGTTCTTTGCAAAGTCATGTACTGGAATTGACACCAAAGGCGTCTGAAGACGTTTGCTCTGAATCGAGGAAGAGAAAGGCCGAGGGAGAAGACTGTGGCAACGTTTTAGGAACTAATGTAAATATTTACAGTAATAGTGATGGAGGCTTATTCAAAAGGGCAAGGGAAATTAAGACAAGTGTCAAAAGGTTTTATGTACGGGCTGATCCATCTGATGCCAGCCTAGTGAGTTCTCAAACATGAATTAATTAGATTCAATTGATTTCGGAAGACTTTGTTGATGCACGAGTGATTTGAAGCCACCCTTTTAGTACTAAAACCTTGTGTGTTTTGTTCTTGGCGTGTATAACAGGTA